AAAGAAAGAAAGAAAGAAAGAAAGAAAGAAAGAAAGAAAGAAAGAAAGAAAGAAAGAAAGAAAGAGAAAGAATTTCCTTTTGCTTTTACCTCTATTTTGTACTTCAGATCCCAGACAGACAATGAGGGAAACATAACAGCAGAATCCAGTACTGGAGGAGGAAGCACAAACATGGAATCTGCTCCCTGCACAAAAACTGGACAACCTATTTTAGAAGATCTTTCTGGTAAGCAATAGGATGTGTTGAGTGCATTGACTCTCTGAATCAGAGGATTATGAAAATATGCTTTTTCCAGAAGGTTTACTTTGTTATTTAGGCTGTTGCTTTCATGAGAGTGAGGACAGCATGCTTATTTATTCTTAGTATTTTATGTTTACTGAGTTTTTCAGTATCTTCACTGCAGAAGCAGCTAATCTCAGGTTCTTATTCAGGAAAGTCAAAGGAGGAAACACTTTTGTAAATGCAGCTGGGTATTATGTAAATCCTTACCAATAAGCTTTTTTTTTTTTTACTTTATATCTAACTTAGTGAAAACGTACTTCTTTTAAATGTTAATTCTGCCTTAAATAACTATTGTGGAATTAATGTGAAATACCCAGATAAATGTTTTATTTAATTATTTAAAACATAAAAAACCCCCACAAAACTCTGAATCTGAAGTATTGTTCTACACCAAGGGTCTCCAACCCCTGGGTTGCAGCCATCATGGCCTACTCTGAATTGGGCTGTGTGAGTGGCTGGCCGGAGTATGCACACAGTTCAACTTCCATATGCAGTGGGCCTGTGGGCACTTACACACATGTGTGCCAATCCGCCATATATGCCAGCCTGCTGCTTGTGCAAGGGCTATGTGCATGCATGTGCTAGCCCACTATTCACATACAGGATGCATGCATGCTTGCATGGGCCCACCATTCCTACAAGGGCTGGGTATGTGCTTGTGACACCCAACGGCCCACCATTTGCACAAGGGCCGCTTGTGGGGCCCGGTTCCCCTCTCCCTCCCCCAGCTGGGCTACTAATCGGCAAATGTTGGGGACCGCTGTTCTAGACATTGTCTGAATTCCTAATATTTAAGTAAAGTGTTTTGATTCTTGAAATATAAATTGTATGTTCAAAGGACTAATTCTATGAAGAGATTGAGTATATGTATGTATGTTATATTGAGACTAGTTAACTATAAACATATAAGAGGAGTACGGTGGCTCACAAAGTTAGAATGCTGAAGTACAAATTGCAGGCTTGTGTTCAAGACCCATTGCTGCTGCGGGGTGAGGTGGCCTCCCATCACAACTCCAGCTCCTGCTGACTGAGCAGTTTGAAAGCAGGTGACTGCAAGTAGATTAATGGATATCACTTTGGTGGGCAACTACACAGGGAAATGAATGCAGCCCTCAATTGGGTATTTCCCAGGCAATGGTGATATCACTGGCAAATCCTTTCTGGAAAAAAAAAGTATAAACATTGCATTCAAAATAGAAGTATTCCAAATTTTTGTGTATATCTAAAAATGGAAATACAATGCTCACTACTCGTATTATTTCAGGATATTTCTGCTGAAAAAGCCACCTATGATGGCAATAGTTTCTAGATAAGACTTGAAATGCCTAAATAGCCTAAAATTACTGAAGCTCTAAGCCATATATTCTTACTTGGCTGCAATGTCAAATATGTTTAAGCTTTAAGTGCCTTGTGTAAAAGCAGGGTTTTATCTATATACCCCTAAACTCTTTTAAGTATCTTCAGCTCAGTAAAATGTATTAGAGAATACATTTTCCAATGCTTTATCAAGAATTTAAAAGTAGTTAATGGTACCCCCTGAATCTGTAGTCAGCTAAATACATGGAAAGGCAGTTAGTAATTATTCAACATCTCTTTATCAGAGTTGGTGCTGAGCATTTTCCAGAAGTTTATTTTGTTATTTAGGCTAGAGATTGAGACTTGTTCTCTTGGTTTCATATGGTATTCATTTGATTATTCTTATCCTTCAAAAAACTAGTTTTCTGTGTTTGGATAATTAGGTTGGTCTATCTTTAAAGAGACTGGTTAGTATTTAGAAGTTACACAGATTTTGGAAAGTTTCCAACAGTTTCTGTTCTCACAGTTAATCTTTCACCCACTAAGTTACTCACCCCAGTGTTCCGTTTTGGTATAGTTGCACCTAATTTATCATCCACCCAGGCTATGAATGTACAAAAGACTAGTAAAGATTTTAATATACAGATTATTATTTAGCCATATGTGAACTCTGAACAATATTTTCATGAAGAGAAGTGGCTAGTGCTATTCAGTGGGTTTCTAAATAGACTTTTAATGAAATATGTACAGTACAGGTATAGAAGAAGCAATTAAAGATAATGAATGGGATTTGATATTTGTTACAGCTGACCCAAGCTCCATCATTTCAGCCCAGAGATACATTTGACAAATTCAGTTGTACCACTATTCCCTGAGAATTTTAGAAGTTGCTGTTTTCAACATATCTAAAGGGCAATAGATTAAGAAGGCTGAATTACATGGACCTAAGTTAACAACTCCATGAGCTTCTCGTTGTGCTTCCAATCATATTTTATTTGTTTTTTAAAAAGATTTATATGACCGCCTCTCTTAAACAAGCAGATTACAACAACAAAACAGATAACCATAAAACAATCCTAAAACATTGCAACAAAAAAATTGCACCTTAAGGATCCCCTTACAATACCCTGCAGCAATTAACCTCATTCCATACTTTCTATCTATAGATTCCTACCTAGCACTAGTAAAAAGCCAGGTGCGTATAATCTTTCAAAAGGCTAAAAGAGTGGGAGACTGCCAAATCTCTTGAGGGAGGATATTCCACAAGATTAGGGGCAGGCACACTTCCAAGGTCCAAGTAGGTGGCTAGATTTCAGGGAAGAGACCTGGACCTATCTGACCTAGAGGAACAAGCAGATATTCTTATGGAGAGATGGTCCTGCATATAGTCAGGTCTCAAGCCATTTAGATTTTAAAGATAATAACCAGCAACTCCAACTGTAACCAGAAGGGAACTGGGAGCCTGTATAGCTCCCTCCATAGAGGAATAACGTGACTAACCTGTGAACCCCCAAAATTGTACACACCACTGGTGGACCACTTGTAACTTCCCAAGTGGTTTCCAAGGGCAGCCCCAAGTAAAACGCAGTGTAATAATCCAACTGGGAAGTGACTTAAGGTATAAATGACTGTGAGCATGACTTCCTAGTCCATGAAGGGGCTCGTTGGTGCACAAGATAAATCCCTAGCCAAAGCTTCCACCATCTCATCAAGCAGCAACCACGAGTCCAGGAGAATCCCCACCTCTCTGCATTGATGGGCAGCTGCTGAGAACTCAAGGGTCAATAGGGAGTGGATTGTTCATGATAGGGGTCTATGCCCTATATATTTCTTTTCAAAGTTCTTAATTTTGACAAGATGCGGGGCTAGTTTGCATTGATTGTAAATTGTGTTTAAAGTTTCCATGATTTCAGAAAGTTTCTTTTCAAAAAAGAAGCATTTTTAATTTTAAAAAAATGTACCGTGCAGTTATCAGCACTTTCAAACTGCCATCTATTCTTTTCACCAAATGCTAGTATTCTTTATTATAACTTTTCCTTATCAATCTCTTCTGCACTAATCTTAATTTTTTTAAAGGAAGTTATTCACATTTTAAATAAAGGATTACAAAGGTTTCAAAACTATGTTTACCAAGGGCTCTTCAGGTTTCACAAAGTACGTGTTAAATCTGGATTTAAGACAAATATTAACAAAGTGTTTGAGACTTCTTATTCCTGCACAAATTTACTCAGTCTATTAGAAGAGCAAAAAAGGTTTGTCTCCCAGTCATTATGTCCCACCTGGATTCTATGAAGCTACACCAGTATCTTCACAGCAGGTAGATTTCTCATTGGCTGCTCCAACTTTGTAAATCTACCTGTGGCCCAGTGGTGGGATTCAAATAATTTAACAACTGTTTCTCTGCCCTAATGATTTCTTCCAACAACCAGTTCACCAAACGGCTCAGAAAGTGAACAACCGGTTCTCCTGAAGTGGTGCGAAATGGCTGAATCCCACCACTGTTGTGGCCTGAATCCAGCACCATTTCTTTCCATTTCCTGGTGAATTTGTGTTTTTTTCCCTCTGTTTTTGCTGGATTTATTCAGTTGATTTATTAATTAGTGCTGACACTTCTGATTGATGTTTTAAACAGTGGTGGGATTCAAATTTTTTTACTACTGGTTCTGTGGGCGTGGCTTGGTGGGCATGGCAGGGGAAGGATACTGAAAAATCTCCCGTCAGAGGTGGTATTTGCTGTTTCTCCAAAACTCAAAATTTCCGCTACCGGTTCTCCAGAATTGGTCAGAACCTGCTGAATACCACCTCTGGTTTTAAAATGTATTCTATCTCTATTAGCTGCTTTAAGTGCATAATAGGAGCCTCTGTGTCGCAGTGGTTAGAGTGCAGTACTGCAAGTTACTTCTGCAGCCAGCTGCCTACAATTTGGCAGTTCAAATCCCACCAGGCTCATGGTTGACTCAGCCTTCCATCCTTCCGAAGTGGGTAAAATTGAGGACCCAGATTGTTGGGGGCAATATACTGACTCTGTAAACTGCTTAGAGAGGGCTGTAAAGCACTACAAAGCGGTATATAAGTCCAAGTGCTATTGCTATTGCTATTTTAAATACACACAAAGGTAAAATATTTTAAGGTAAAATACCTTAAATAAAATACATTGAAATAAGTGGTATGGAGAAGAGAGGGGTCTTCCCCGCCCCCCCAGGCTTGTAGAGCTCAGACTTGCCTTTTATGATGGTCACTCAAAATGCTTTTGTAGACTAAGGTTGTGTTACTCCATGGATGTTTACCTTTGAGGAAAACCTCTTGAATGAAATGAAACTTCTGAACAGAGACATGCTTTGATCTGGAGATAACTAAAACATATTTAGATAAAGAACTGTTCTCCCTTTGGAAACAACAAAGAGTGAACAATTGCTGTAATCTGTTTGTATGATTATAACATTTAAAAATGAATTTTGGGTGGTGCGCTAAAGTATTACCCCTTATTCTAAGTCACATAGCCTTTCTTTATTAATTTCCCAGAGAGTTTCCAGATGATATTCTTATCAGATTGATACACTCCAGTATTTCTGTGTTCCCCAAGTTCTTTTCTATTGAGAATGCAGTCTGATAGATAACATAATGTTCCATTTCAATTTTATACTAAATGGTAAATTCCAATTTGCCTTAAATTATAAATTCTTACATTCAGCTAGTTTAAATCAATGTATGTTTTTGCCATAAAATGTTTAATAAATATTCTTTTTTTTTAAAGAAGCCACTCCTTCAGAAACAATGAGATTAGTTTGTTTCAGCTGTACATTAGATATCTCCAGAGATGATAAAATTGCATGTTTAAGAAATGGGAATCCAAATAGAAAACTTGAAGAATTTTTCAAACCCACGTTGATATAACTTCATTATAACTTTTATATTGTTATATTTATATTTATATATTTATAACTTCATTATAAGACTAGGATACAAACATAATAGCAAGCGTCTGAGATTGTTTGGGGATGAAGGAAATGAATACATTCATAAATAGCAATAGCACTTAGTTTATACGCTACCCCATAGTGCTTTAAACATTCTTTGGGCAGTTTACAATGTCAGCATATTGCCTCCAACAATCTGGGTCCTCATTTTACTGACCTTAGAAGGATGGATGGGTCAGCCTTGAGCCCAATTAGAATCGAACTCCAGGCTGTGGGCAGAGTTTGTCTGCAATACTGCATTTAACCACTGCACCATCAGGGCTCCTTCAATGATTCAAATAATTTTGAATTTTAAATACAATTCAGATTAGTGTACAATAGAGGCCTATGTTCGTCAGATTGCTTATCACCTACCAAATCTCATTCAACCTAAGATTGAACACCACTTACAAAAAAAAACAAAATAAAAAGAAAGAGTCTGCATCTGAGACAGCATAAGAATAGAAAAGTATTTTTTGAGTTGGAAATGTGAAACATGTATTATGTGCACATATCCCTATTCTGCTGTAATTAGTAACTCTAATTACTTCTTATCTAAAAGTTGCATTTTTCCATAGCGGAAGATCCAGAAACACGCAGGTTACGAACTGTCAAGAATATAGCTGATCTTCGGCAAAACTTAGAAGAGACCATGTCTAGTTTACGAGGAACTCAGGTGTCCCATAGGTAAGAGACACGTTAATTATTTCTTTTCAAGGAACTGCCCATTCTTTACTCTATTTCTATTTCTGGAAGATTATTATGAATGACTAACAGCAAAGATTAATTTGACTATACACTGCACTTCATTATTTTAGTTTTATGTGAAAAACTAGAATCTGCACCATATTAGGGCATAACTGAGATTAATGAAGAGTAAGTTTAGGAAATGGAAGAAACCATTTTAGAGAGGGCTGTATATAAAGGCTGAATCTTCAAAAATATTAGTTAAACATTTTTAGGTGATGTTTGAATAGAAAAGTACAAAGGTTACTTTTGAAAAAGTTACCTAGGTTTACTTTTGAAATTCTTTTAACGTATTTCAACCAGATCTACATTATTGTGTTTAAACAAGCAGCTGAACTGCATTTGACCTATTTGATAAGACACATAGCTTGAATTCCTACCTGGCCTTTGGATAAACAAAGCTTTATAATTCTATTAATGAGGTATGCATGGTCATATTTTTAAAGCAGTGAAAAAGATTCAGTAGTAATATTTCAAACAGAAATCAGAATTGTCTATTGTTGCATTATAGCATATAATAAAATTGCAAATTTAATCAATCATCTAAATGCTTGGAAAGAAACCACATCAAAGAAGTTGTATGATTCAGCTGTGGAGTTTTACTTACCCAGACACACATATTTCATCCAAGCCCTCCTAGTTTTAAATAATACAATCAAAATTTAAAAAAATACAACAAACAGAAGACAAAATATGAAAAAGCCATCAGTAACATAATACAACTAAAAAGTCCTTAAATCCCACCTAAAATTTGAAAGCTCAAAGCCAAATATTTTTCTCAGAAGTAATATTTCCAAAGATACTTTCTGTCCTAACTATAAAAAAAAATAAGAGAAGAAGCTTTAGATTTTATACCAAGCCTAAAACAAATTCACTGTTGGAAAGGTTCCCTAAGAAGTTCGGTTTGATAGGTTTATTCATTAAAGTTCCACATCCATTTATTGTTTTAGAGGAAATTTCAGCACTATACAGATCATTGGTAAATAATGCAATTATTAACAATAAATAGTTATGGTTGACATCTTCAACCAAAGGTTTCATCAAGAAGCACCGTAACACAATTTTATCTAAGATGTACAAGTGTAATAAATTGATTTCTGTAGGTTCCCTTGACCAAATATGTTGCCTTCTATAGCCAAAAATTAATGTTCCTTGGCCTCATAGTTTATTAGTAAAATGGAAAAGAAAACTTTTGGGGGGCTTTTTTATCTCAGATATCTAGTATTTAAAATATTTAAATAAAATATTTCTAACATTTGCCATAAACATCTATTGAATGTATTACATCTTGAATCTTTTCCTATTTAAGCACCTTGGAGACCACCTTCGATACCAATGTCACCACTGAAATAAGTGGACGCAGCATCCTCAGTTTGACTGGTAGGCCAACACCCTTATCTTGGAGACTTGGGCAGTCCAGTCCCCGCCTCCAGGCAGGTGATGCTCCATCAGTGGGTAACGGGTATCCTCCAAGAGCCAACGCCAGCCGATTCATCAATGCAGAACCAGGACGTTACATGTATTCAGCACCATTGAGAAGACAGCCACCATCTCGAGACAATAATGTTTGCCACGTGGATATCACTGACAAAGGAGGTGATGAAGTAGATCTTGAAGGAATCAACATGGATGCTACAGGTTATATGAGTGATGGAGATGTCCTTGGGAAAAATATAAGGACTGATGATATTACAAGCGGGTGAGTACAATCAATTCTGTTTGTTACTTAAAAAAACATTAATTCTCTGCTTTTGAGATAAAATTAGTTTCAACAATTAAATTTAGTTTAAACAGTGTGATATATTAAGAATATATTGGTTAAATATATGGTAGCTCATTATGGTTATTGATGAGATAGTCCGGATTTAGAAGTAAGAATCAGAAAAGGCTGGTGATGATAACAAAATAAGAGTAGTTTTCACATAGGTAGTTTGATAGTATCTGACTGAGCAATATGATTGCGAAACCACTTGAGGTAATGGGTTCCCTTTCTGTACACATTTTCAAACAGTTTAGACAGCCATTTGTTGTGGGCGTTTCAGAAGATAGATAACGTTAGTTTAAATTGCCTTTTCCATTTATATGAAATTGTTATCTAATTCATTGAAAATTTTGCTTAGTTGTGAGCCTCTGAATGGGGTTTAATAAAAGATAATATATCAAGAGCTTAGGTACCTGTAGCCTTTTCCAAAGATCTCTAAACTGGTTAATTGAATGATGTTATGCTGAACTGCCTAAATTCTCAAGCTTATGTCTGTTCTACATGGAGAAATGGTGTAGCAAATTATCACACACCATTCCTGTATATGTTGTCTTCCTGGGCAAACTGCAGCATGGTACTAAACTGCAGAATTCTGCAAAGTTCTTAGGACATACCTTTCCTACTAGCACTCTTAGTTCTCCAAGATCAGCCCTACACAAATAAGCATGCAGTCTGATTCAGCCTATTCTATTTGCATACATATAGAATGGAGTTTAACTCAAGGGACTGTGTAACTCAATGATATAATATAGTTTTGTAGGTAGAATATTCCACCTTCAACCTTTCTAGGTTGAATCACTAGTTACTCAATTGGCCCATGCCTCCTCTGCACTAGTATGCATAAATATTGAGCTTGCACTTCCAAGAGGCCAGCTAAAATTTTCCTTGTCCAGCTAATGTCAGTCTGCAATTCAGTTGCTTCCTGGATTCTTGCAGGAGACATGTTGGAGAAAGTTTTGAACCCAACTGCAGAGACAAGTAGGAGTTGGCACAGGCATCTCTACTCATCATGCTCCATCAGGTGGTCCTCTTTAATTTAGCAATCTAAGTTACAAGAGTGTTGAATTAATGGGAGTTACCATGAGTCTTTGAAGTTATGGCTGTTGCAGTGATCAAAATTCCATGAGCATGTGATCAAAATTCCATGAGCATGTGATCAAAATTCAGGTCCTTGGCAATCTGCATTTACTACCATGGGATGTGCTTCAACTTCCTCCTACCATCCTATCTCCTCTCATCTGTTCCTTTTTAGCAATCCACTACCCCTGTTACCCCTGCTGCCCTGCGCTTCATCCACATCTACCTCCCTAGCCCTTCACTGACCTTTGCCATCTTCCTCCCATTACTGGTGAGCTGCATCCAGCCTAGACCTTTTTAAGGTAGCTCTTGGCTTCACGAGAACTTGTCAAAAGAAAGAGCTGCCTTGTGAAGGAGGAAGACAATGAAAGTCAGCTGGGGGTGCCAGACATGGTGAAGTGCAGCATTTTGGATCAAAAGAATAGCTGTGTTTACACATGTTAAGTGTTGGAAGAGCTAGAATCCAATTTGCAGCAGAAATTTTAATTCCTGAATAAAACTATTCACGTGAGAAACACAGATACAACAAAGAATCACTTTGCATATTGTCTAGTATCTAAATATACTTTTAAAAGTATTTTGTTTCTTACAAATTATGGAATCCAGAGTGCATTTGCTTTCCAAATTGTGTGTATGTCCTAAACATACTCCATTACAAGTATTAGAAATATCAAGAAAGATGCATATGAATAGAACAAATTAATGATTTGTTTGAACAGCAATGTTGAAGAAAACCAAATCCTGAGATATATGGTATAAACTACCAAAAATATCCCACTAAAATGGACCATTTTAAAACTTTCAGGCTTTTTTTTGCAGAAGTATAGATACTTTGCTTCTCATTCTATTATTTTTTTTAAAAATTTACACTCATTCTATATATTTTTTATACCAATAAAGTTATTGCAGACATTAGTTTTGTGCAAAATAATACAATGGAACCATATAAGTCATTGTCAAAATAGGAATGAATGAATTATATTTTATTGTTGGCTATCTTTTATATACCAGGATAAGTTTGTCTATGGTCTGTCCTTCTTTTTTCTAATTTTTATAGCAATTCTTATTTGTTCATAGCTCCATCTAGCGGCGAGCAATTTCCTTAGTAAAACTGCATCTTAAGTTGAACCCTAAGTTTCCTTCCATTTAACTGTTATTGTAGGGCAGAAGGGGAAATTCTATCTTTGAGTTACATGTAAAAATTAAAATAATCAGGAAGAGAAGGTTGCTTCTGACATTTACAATGGTTGAATTGTCCTTAACTGATAAACAGTATTTATAACTAAATACTGATAAACAGGAATTATAACAATAGCAATAGCACTTAGACTTATGTACCATTCCATAATGCTTTACAGCCTGCTCTAAGTGGTTTTACAGAGTCAGCATATAGCCCCCAACAATTTGGGTCCTTGTTTTACCCACCTCGGAAGGATGGAAGGCTGAGTCAACCTTGAGCCTGGTGGGATTTGAACTGCCAAATTGCAGGCAGCCGATAGTCAGCAGAAGTGGCCTGCAGTACAGCACTCTAACCACTGCACCACCGATGCTCTTATGTAACTAAATTATTTATTATAACTAAATCTGTTCTTTAATAATTAAATTCCAGCTAGTAACCCACATTTATTTAATAGGAATTGTAAGCATTGTGCTAGCTAGAAGTAACATCCAATGCTTGACATATTTGAACATTAGAATAGGCCTATTAGATGAGGCTGATGCTTCTCTTGGTCCAGCATTTTGCTTGTCACTGTGCCCCAACCACAGTATAAATGGAAATGCTATTCTGAATACAATTGAAGGTATAGCTTTCATCAGTTATCCCATGTATACAAGTAGTCCTTGACTTATAACCATAATGGAACCTTGTAAAGGAGGTCACTCGCACAAGCTGCTGTAGCCATAAAGTTAATGCCATGGTCATAAAGTGAACCCATTGTTTGCTATGGGCCAGTTTTGCCAAAAACCAGAAATAAATGTCTGTTTTTGGCAAAACCATCATAAAATGCAGTCAACTGACCATGGGATGCTTAAACAGCCAGGAATGTGAGTCTGTTGCTGAGTGCCCAACATGCAGTCTCATCACGGTGGTGAAGGAGGCATCAGAATTTCAGAACTAGGTTATAAGTACCCCTGGGGAAGTCCACTGTAACTTCAAACAGCCACTAAGCAAGTAGTCATAAGGTAAAGACTCCCCATATATAAAAGTGATTGACATGTTAAGTATTAGCCTGTACATTTCTCAGAAATTTCCCAGGGATCAAACTAAAGGATTTATCTCAGTTTTGGAGCTTTCTGGGAGTTGAAGTTCACATATCTAGCTGGCTGGGAAAGCGGGTCTAGGAAATAGAACGTTCATTGCTATTCATACTGTTTCTCTGGCTCGACTGATAATTTACCTTAGAAAGATACAAGTTCTTTATTACTGGCAAGTCTTTTCTGACTGTCAGGTGAATTCCTGAATGTGAGGTTGTTGCAGTCTGGGAATAAGCAAATGTCATAGTCTACTTAGAAACATTGGAATAGAAGTTCCAGGGAAACTAAATTCTGCAAAGTTGATTTTGGATTTTATAGAGTATGGGCTAATATCAATGCTTGCCCAGAGGAAGTCAGCATTCCACTATCACCATTATAAAGACAGCTTTGGCTGAGCTTTCAAAATGTAATGTGGGACATAAACTGTTTTTCCTTCAGGGAAAGGGAGTTAACACACTAAACAATGCAATCACCTAATCATACTGGACTAGTGTCTACACAGTTACAAACAGATGTTTTTGTAACATCACTTTTATGATTCATGCCTTCCAGATGTCCATAATGTAGAACAAGATAAAATGAGGAAGCCATATTTCTTATTGTGGTGGAATTAATTTGGGTAGCATTTGTCTTTTCAATTAAATGTATTTCAGGAAACATCTAGATGTGTGTAAGCTGTGGGGGATTTTTTTTTTTTTGCAGCAAATACATTTGCAAAATATCTTGAAGAGAAGTAATCTGTTTTTTCTGGTTTTTGGAGTTGTTCTTGGTACATATAGTTTGAAAACTCTTTTGTTTAGATACAGAGCAAGTTTTATCTGTTCAGTAGAAAAACACATCTTCTCCAAACACACACCAACTGTTTGTCTCCAAATTTACAGTATTCCTTCTGTACCCAACGTACATGATTAAAGAACATCTGTACCACAACGTGTAGATCTCTTAGTTGTCAAATCAATGCTATTTTTTCAACTATTACATTATTTGAAAGAAAGATTAAGGGAACTAATATTTCTTGTCTGATCTCTAAGCTGGGAAAATGTGTGGTAATCATTTGTTAGAGATCTCGTGAGAAAAATAGATGAAGCAAGAACAACAATAAATCAGAAGTGTAGAAGAAGCTACACCCTAGCCTAGGAGAATTTGCAGAAACATTTTATGTTCCTTTAAAGTGAAGAACAAAAATTACCTAAGGTTTTTTTCTGGCTAATTAACATTGATTTTTGAATGTGCACTTTGGCATGTGGATTTTAAAAAGTGAGTGGAAGTACTGTTATGGAAACTGCTCAGGATAATCCTTTGCTATGTCTAAGTTTTCAGAATATGTTTACAGCATGAATGCCTTTCATTTAACTGATTTGTGTTCTGCTGTCATTTTCTAAGTGGTAAATCTCTTATATTTTTACTGGCAATTAGATAGGAGAGAGTACCAAAATATTTGTTACAGCCACAACAAATCCAGTGGCCAAGAAAAATTGTTACACCTCCCCCATCTGTGTTGGGTCATGGGAAATGTTGCAGAGACTTCATTTCCAGGTCTATCCAAGCCAAATTCTGGCAGGCAGCCTTGTAGGGTATCTTGAGGTTAGAATTTTTTTTCCCCT